ATTGAAGGTTAGCAAACGGATCACATGGCAATGTCTGGTTCATTTGGTGCCCCTCCACAGTCAGTCCCATGACTCTAGCTCAAATAATAATTCATGTCTGAGGGCCTTTTTGTGACACTCATCTTAGATGAATTGGAAGGAAGCATAGGTGCGCATTGTGATTAATAACATAATCTTTTCTCTTTGATTCGACTCTGACTAGCAGCCATAACTTCAACAGTTTTCTTATTATCAGAGGCCAGAGGCCACCTTTCATCCTGTTCCAAGGGTGGTTAATCATTTTTGGAGCGCTGTGGTTATAGAAGTGCCACGGTCCCCATTTCTACAAGCTTGGCCCCCCCAAGGCACTCCTAAGCTGTAATTAGGCCAGAGTGGAGGGGTGTGTGAAGCTAGAGGAACTCCCAGCATCCAGAGATTGCTGAAAGTGGCGCCACTCTTTTTTTGTGCCTGGAGTCCTGCCTCTATTCAGCCAAATTACAAGCATTTACACATTCACTATACAACTATTTCTATTTTGACAAAAATAAAACAATGAAAGCATTAATGGGAAACTGCAGTCAATAATTGAACACAATTTGCAACCCAAAAATGTATCATTGTTACTCCTTCAAGCATTTCTAACCTACAGTGGATGAAATATATGACTTGTTTGTGCTTTTGCACTGTAATCATCCCACCCCCAGCAAGTTTTTTTCACATCCAAGTAAAGCAATAATATATGTGGAGGGGAGAAAGTTGCAGACATTGCAGTGCTTCATCTAATCTATGACAGAGATGTTATCTGTGGCTGAAATGGTGAGAAAAGGATAAATATTTATTCTGGTAAAATATCATTATAAAAAAAACAAAAAAACAAAACAAACAGAATTTTTTGATACCCATGTTGAACTTCTTAAATGTTTTGGAGTAGTTACAAGTACCATTAATCTATAACTTCACTCAGCAAATACCATGAGTGTTGCCCTTCAGCATGAAAACCATAAACCTCAAGTCCAGGATTCTTGTTAACGTTTAGGAATTTCTTTAGCTTATCTGATTGCACTGCAGAAACTTGATCAACCTTAGTAAATTACACTGTGCACCACATTGTACAGTATGCGACATCAGAAGGGGTAAATTCTATAGGTCTCTTCTACAGAATCATAAGACCGTGTCACCATTTAGAGCTGCACCATCCAAACATCCACAGTGAGAAGCACCAGGTATATGTGAACTGTACAATTCATCAACCTATGTTTAATAGGTCACATATTTAAACTTGGGACTTAAATATAATAAAAACTCAAATGGTTTTCAGATATTATCTCAATGTCCTCTTGCATAATTGCTAATTTTCTTGTTTGCTTTCATTTTCCTTTTCGCATAACAAAGCGGGGGCCTCATTTTCTGTGTCTGGCCCAAAGTGAACTTTCTATTTTTGTCCACCAACCTTTGTTCTGCCTCAAATGGAACTGATGAGCCCTGCCCTTCTAATTAAGTGTCCCAAAAAAGTCCTGCATAGCTCAGTGCTCGAGGAATGACAATGGGTGCTCTCAGTCTAATAAACAAGACCTCTAAACTCTGCATTAGTTCCAATAAAAAAGTTGAAAAGACTGCAGAAAAGCTGGGAAGTTAATTTGAAGGATGTTGACTGTATGTTAGTTTAAATTAGTGTCTCTAAAATGTCTTTTGATGGGTCAGGACTGCCCAATAATATAAGTTATCATGCTAAAAGCTGCAAACATTTGTTTTGCATTCATATGAGATAAGATGCCATCTCTTGACCATAGTTAACAGAGGTATCCTAAAGCAGATATTACACTAGTTAATGCAAATAGGTGCCTAGGATTTGTATATACACTGTAGATACAAAATGGCAATAAAAGTTGTCTAAGTCTAAAGTAACATTTCTTTACTGTTACTTCTTAACATGTTTGTAACCCTGAGATATTAATTTCCATGTTTGTTTTCAAGTAAAGTATTTTTAAGCGGAATTATAATGCTTGACAGTTTGTGAAGACAAAATCAGTTGTCTAGTTTAAGACATATAGAGAACACAATGAGTTCAAGAGGATACTTTAGTCAAATGAGAACCAAATTGTACCTTTTGGCCTATATGCAAGATACTACATATGTGTGGGAGAAACACTGCATGTGTCCTGGAACTCAACACAACTGCACAAAAAGATGGGAGCAGATGTGTCAACAGTTTTAGCAGCAGAGATATGAGGATAAGTCGGAATTCATGATAAATGAGGTTCAGTCCTAAGAGAAAACCTGTTTAAGGCTGCAGAGATCTGGGATTGGATTATAACCCTCTAACAGGGCAAAGCCCTAAACATTCCTCAGATCTACAATTGTTGGAATTGCCCAAGCAAAGTTTTGCCCCTAATCAGATGAAGAAGCTATTTCAGACCTTAAAAATGTAATACTCTCCATCCGATCTAATGGAGCTTCATCAAAAGAGGAAGAATGAGCAAAAGTTTCAGTTTTAAACTGCACAAAGCCATTGTAAACAAATGTGGAGGTTCCACAAACCCTTTCTCCTCTAATTCATAGTTATGCACCTTTTTCTGTCAGTCTGTCAACTTAAATCTGTTAAATGAAAACGGGCAGAACTTGTGGTTTAAATTTGAAGGGATATTTATACCCTCACACATTGGCATTCTCAGAGCGATTACCCTCCCTCCTGACATGTTCCTCTTTGCTTCAGTGGTGTTATTTTTCAGTCTGGACTTTCCCCACCTTTTATTTCCAGACCACCTCACTCTAAATAACAGAGGAAGGGCTCTACAGTCACCACACCACACCTGGGCCACAGCATCCTCCCAGCCCTCACCGGGAATTCTTTCACCACCTGCAGAGAGGCATTAGTGAGAGGTGGGAGGCAGGAAGTCCACCCTGTAAGAGTTTTTCTGCACTTTGAAAGCTCAACTCTGCAATTTAATCTTCCCAAAAGCATTTTTTAGTAACTTGTATGGGCATGTGAATACCTAGTATACATATTTTAGTGCACTTCTGACAGAGATTTGGTATTAATGATGCACTAAAAGAAGAGGCAATGTTTCATGTTACTGTATAATGATCAGCCCCTCCCCTACCCCCTAACCTGTGCTTATTCATAAATTTTAGCTGATGTTGCTAGTGTCCTCTGCTGGCTGTAGATTTAATTTCTCTTCAGCTACCATGGGGCTGTAAAACTAATGCAAAAGTACTTATAACAGTCACTCCACTACATTTCAAAATCAAATATTGTACTTTCTAGTCCATTTTGAGGAAGATGCCAGTTACTTGTTCCTTTTGGCTCAGCTTGGCGTTGTATTCCAGTGTTGCTGTTTTTCTTTATTGAAATGCAATCTGAACACGTAAGATAGACTTGCTGAGACAACTTTTATCATTTTGTGTACACAGAGTGTACAAATTCAAACTTAAAACTTCTATTCCATAGTGAAAGTGGAAGGAGAATCAAGACACTCCTGTTTTCTTATTGGCCTTTTTTTTAAATAAGGAATAATAACCAGCTGTCATTTCTTTGTGGCATTTTTATGCTGAAGTTCTTTATAGGTGCTGTAGAATCTGTAGTAGGTGGCTCTATGCATTAGTACATCAGGTGCTTCCTGAAATGTACAAGCTTCTTTAAAAATGCTCTGAAAATTATATAGAGAAATGCATCATTTAATTTGTATTTTTGAATACTTAACTACTTTTAAACACGTACTTTTGAATAATTAGGTATTTTCAAATGTGAGTACTTCTGTAATTTAACTTGACGTTTGATCGAGTAGCTTTTACTTATAGTTTAGTAAGTATTTGACTAGGAGTATCAATACTTTTACTCAAGTACTACTGTTGTGTACTTCCTCCACCACTGCTGAAATTATATATCTGATCTTTTAATATTTCAATATTTCTTGTTGGGAATCAAGGTTTTTGACTAAAAAAGGCCAATACAAGCTGTGTTGAGATTAGTGGGAAGGATTTGAAATAAAAAACTTGAGTAGATTAAAGGAAAGAAAAAATACAACTTTCATTAAGAGCTATAGATTCATACAGTAAAAAAAGAAAAAAAAAAACGCTATAAGATTCCTACTGAGCTACAGTGAAGAAAAAAGCAAAAACAAAAGCACAGACATATGGATGAAGCAACAATCAACATAACAAATCTTAAAGTTATTCAATAAATTCATACCACTCCAACTGAGGTCAGTTTTGATTTATCTGTGCCTCACATCACATTCAATTTTTTTTTTTTTGGGTGGCGTACTTACAGTTTGAAAAAAATATATTTAGAAATCACCCAATGAAGCCAAACATTCATACCCAGCAGATATTGAGATATTTTTCATTCAACCTGTTGATAAGAAACAGGATGGTTGTCTGTAAAACGATACTAGAATCTGAGTAAATTAAAAAGGGGCTTCATTATTTTGAGTTGCATATGAAATATTGTCTATACTAGTAACTCCCGGCTGCCACTGTCCTGCATGCCTAAAATTAGTATTTGCAAACTTGATCATAGCACAATCTCCTCAGGAATCAGCTTCAATGTGGCAGATGCTTGTTAAATGTTCATTCATTCAAATTTGGCATGTCAGCACAGAGACAGCTAAAACCTGTGAGATAGTGTTCCTTAAAAAACTTAAGATATGGAACCAGTGATTTATACTATTATTAGTAATCAATGGAGAAATGTTTTTTCTTTATTGACATCAAAGCACTCAAACTCATCTAATAATTTCAGTTATTGCTGTTTATTACCAGTGTTATTTTGGCTTTCTTTGGTGAAAAGTTCCCAGGCTTTATGATATAAAGGTACTTACCACTATTGTAATCTTAAGAGTATTTTCTTTGGACTATCTTGTTAGTTTTACATTCTAATATATCCATACTCATCGTTCTATTTGGCTCATCTACAAAAAACATGAGATCTGAAGACAAACAACCTACACTGAGCAGGAGTATTCTCTATAGAGTTTGAAATGTGTTTTGCTGAAATATGAACCTGCCTTTTTTCAAACAGATAACATGTTTTCCACTGTTTATTTACATCACACATCAAACAAAATAAAATGGATACACAAAAGAGCATGAAAAGTGGTTTTCACTGAAGAATTAGAAGAATGAGATACATGCATAAAAGGTAGAACTGTGTAAATATTTGATTTCAAGTGTAAATGACTATGATGCATATTACATACAAACACAAATATACATATACTGTAAATCATATAAACTTAAAACCACATTTTTACATATCTACTTTAAAAAAAAGAACAATTTTTGTTCTTGGTGGCATCAAAAGACTAAACTTTTCCATTCTTATTTCTATTGGTTAAAAACAAGAAAATTGCAAGAAATAGAACATGTTTCAACTTGCTTGAAGTTCAGAGGTTTCAAAAACTTCTTATGACACAAACCTGGTCCATTCTATCAGAATAACAGGTGCCAATTTGTGCCCAAGGTTCATCTTCCCTGCAGATTATCTGAGATGTTGCCTTTATGTTATACACGTTATGTTTTCAGCAAAGCAGGCACACAACATGACACTGCCACCTTCCTACCCAAAAGTGTGTAATGGTTCATAACTCCTTAGAAGCTTCACCCTTTTTCCTTTAAAAGTATCATTTGTGATTATAAACAAACCCTCAAATTCTGTTGTCAGACTAGAGGAAATCTCTGTGAGTCAATTTGCAAATTGCTTTTCTTTTATGCCAGTACCTGTGCAGGATGCATAACTGGATGATGATGATTATAATCTGCTACCAGCTTCATCTAGAATCATCACAAGTTCCTACAGTTCTTCTTGTGGGTTAATGTGAACATTTTAAACATTATCAAAGAATGTGGTTCGACATTATCATGGTGTTAATACTCACATATTGTTTGAATGGCTAAAGATGCCACCATTAGAAGAAAGTAATGGAAGTGATCTGAAACAATTATCTCTGGTATTATTGTGGTGTTGAGCAAACTAACAATTAGCGTGATTCTAAATTAACTAAAAGAGGAAAACAGTCTGATGAGTCAGACAGTGAAAAATAGCAGTTTTTTTAATACATTGTAAAAAATAAAAAAAAATAAAAATAAAAAGGGTCATGTTCAACCGTTAATGCAACTGTTAATGCAACGCCACCAAAAGCTTTTCTATCACTGTAGGTCTCTCTCTGAATAGAATTAATAGCCAAAGCAAAAACATAGATAAAAACTGTTATCTCAAGTAATATAGGCTTGGATAATTCAGTTATTTTCTGAATCAATGAGCAGGTTTATGTCATTGACAGGTGACTAATGGAGTAAGGCAAATACATTGTATTTGTAAAAACTTCCAACACTGAACTAAATAGATATTTTACATTAGTTAGTAAAAGACTGACAGTGTTCTTTGAAAAACAGAGAAAGTCTAAACTACATATGTGATAGTATCTCAACAAAATAAAAGGTTAAAATCCAGCTGATTTTCATATGCATTAATCATCTACTACAGAAAAGCAGTCTTCTAACAATTTTTATGCCTGTTTGTGTTTATAAATATATGTATACATATATATATATTAGGGTTTAGTTGAGAGTTTTATACACAGCCTCTACATTTAATACAAAAAAGAATGTTTCCATTAAATCCCTATTAAAAAACATTGGTGTTCAAAAACATATTCAGAAGAACAAGATCTTAACATATAAAAGACAGTTCTATACGTGTGTATCGTACCATACTCAAAAAAATAAAAATACATATATATATATATATATATATACAATGCATAGACAAAACAAAAGAACACTCCTGCTTACAAAATAAACAAAAGTGGTTCCAAAGACCAAATTATGCACAATTTGCTCATATATTGTGCTGTTTTTCAAATAATCAAAATCCAAACTGAGATGCTCAGAAATAGTAAAGAGATGCTTACTTATCACCTACAAAATACAGTTTGTTTTATACATGATTAAGCCTGTTTGGATTGAAATAAATAAAAAATAATCTATGTAGTGCCGACAGCATATTCTCAGCAGCACATATCTGCCTCCCTTAAATAGCACGTTCATTTGTCTTATTTTTAAGAGTCTAAAAAAAGTCACTCTCTGGGTAAAGCATTGTTGTACCTCATGCAAACAGGAAAGTATTAACTATAAACTGAAAATCCTAAACCCTTTGATTAAAATTTATTGCAATTTATTTTCTTTTTTAAATAATTATATAAAAAAATGGATGAATATTTAGACGAGTTCAATTATGATACAAAAAAAAAAAGCATAATTTATTCTAAGACTTTTTAACCTCACTTGTGGAAATAAATCGAGAACCCTGATTAAACAACAATTTGGAAAAGCCCGAAATATGAGGATAGCAAACATATGAGGAAAAACAACACTGAGTTATTTCTAAACTAGCTTAAAATCAATTTAGAAAACACATTCCTGCATTTCCTTGTTTAGAAAATCTCACTATATTTCTGCTAATAGTAACCAGTGAGTATTTCTGCAACATCCAGTTAACAATGAGAGTTAAAGTCCAGTTAATAAGGAGATCTAACTTTTTTTATCCTTTGTGTCCTCAGTCTTTTGGTGTCTGAGCAGGGAATCAGCTCCATCCTACTTACTCCTTTGTGAGCCGATCATCACTTTAGAAACAAAGTTCACAATAGCGCTTGCTGGCTGTTCAGGGTCATGTTCTGCAAATAGGTGGCACACATTGTCCATTGAAGTGCCTGTTTTCCTTGCCACAAATCCAAAGATTCTACAAAAGCAGAATACAGCAGTTAATAGCAGCATGGTCATCTACCACAAACTGATTGAGTGTTTTCCAAAATAACTGTGGGGACACCATTTTGGCTGCAGCTCTGGAGTAAATAATAATTATTTACTTACTTTGCTGATGGGCAGCCCTCTTTCTTCCACCTATAAGCAGTAATAATATGACATCAGAAACAGTGAAAATAACTGTTGAGACCTAGAATTTGCTTTTATCCTAAGATTCAGAGAATAATACTCACTTTCTATCTTGAGGGTCCAATGCACAAAATATGACTGTGTTGACATTATAATGCCTTCTGAAAAAAAGCCTGAAAAAAGACAAATTCATAAATAAGAAAAGTGGATTTATTTGTAAATCAAGAGTGTATGTGTGTGTGATTTGTACTCACTTCCTCTGGTTGTCTGTAAGAGTAATTCCCTGGGAGGAAACCTTGAAATGTACCACAGTGGGGACTGGTGGAGGGTTGGTATTAAGGGTTATACTGGTGGCTTTCTGCACTGCCTGGACCCCTGTGAGGGACTCCATTTCCACAGAGCCGAGGTACCATACATTACAGGCTGCAATTACAAAAAACAGTTAAAGTCCAATAGTATTACAAATGGTAAATAACAGAGTGAGTGCTCTCTGAGAAACAATAACAGGTTCAAAAAACACTTGTTTGAAAAAAACAAAACAATTGTTTAATTATGGTCTCGTTTTCTTGTGTTTTTCAAAAACTCTATTTACAGAGAACGATCCAAGAAGTCTAATTACCTGCTCCCTGCTTCAGCAGCTCAGCAGCCGAATTAGTGACTGAATGTGAAATGTTCTCCACAACATCTTCGAGTGGATCTTATGAACAAAAAAGAAGAATATAAGAAACATTCAGTTTTAATAAAAAAAACTTATTATAAAAATAAAAAAAATATAACCACAAGCAGGCAGTTATAGAGAGGCAGTGAAAAAAAACTCAGATAAAATGAAGCTTCTATAGTGGCCATGGTCTCTAGAATTGTATTAGATGCCAAGGTTGTCTGTAAGTGTTTACCTCTGTTAGGAATAATGAGTTTACAGGGCAAAGCCAAGGGAGTTATTGAATGTTGGTAAACCAATGCAGTTAAGCTTCCTGTAAAACAAAATGAGAAAAGAGAATTCATGATGAAGTCACGCATTCAGTCACAAATAATTATTGAAATTGCTTTGGTGAAAGTAAGGAAATAAGATGCAGAGTGAACAAAAGTACCGTAAATTCTCTAATATTGGCCTGTATTCCATTAGCGGCCGGGACTCTAACATTGGCCGGTCTCGCTGTCAGAGGAGGTAAATAATGGCCGGTCTCTCATACAGGCCGGGGCTATAAACGTTTTTTCTGGGCATACCTCAACATTATACTTGTGGTAGTAACATACAAGTACCACAGCCCTGCGCAGCTGGACGACAGGCCCTGACTGCTGCCCGTCTGCGCGAGGAAGAGGACAGATACGCAGCAGAACATGAGAAGGAGCGCGAGTGATGAGGAGATTAAAGGGAGAGATGAAGAGGAGGAGAAAAACTGAGGAGGAGGATTAAACAGAATTGGAGGATTTTTTTTTTCTTTTTTACTTCAAACCAAGCGAGAAATGGTAACTGTACTTTTTCAATAAATGAACCTAGTGTTTTATAGGTTCAAAATCCGTGTATCATTCGTTCTTTCTATTTTCAATTGCCAATCAAAAAACAAAAAATTGACTGGTTATTTTGTTATTTGTTTTTTATGGTTAAACCAAAAACGAAAAAAGGATTTGTTTTTCATATATCAATTCTAAGCTCAGATCAAGAATACGAAATGGAAAAACGGACAGCAACGCAGAATTTGATTTTAATATTTAATCGGTACAGTTTACGTGACCCGGAAATAGCTCTTTGCGCAGCAGTTGGGGTAATGAAGTGGCTACCATGGCGACGCTAGAACCACACACTATGTTGATCGAGAAGCTGTTTGTTGTTGCTAGTTAAAAGTACAGTGCACAGAAAAGTTTCAAGAAAAAAGTTATACCTGGAAAATCCTGCAAATTTTCTCCGTTGTCATGTCCTCCTCAAGAGTCACACGCTTGGATCCTCGAAATAAAACGTAACTGTCCATGGCTGATAGGTCCGACTGCCTTATCTGGTGCAGTTTGATCGAACGTGGTGGGAGTAAGCCAATTGTTTTTTTAGCTAACGCTCCACCAAACTTCCGGGTCATGTAAACTGTACCGATTAAATATTAAAATCAAATTCTGCGTTGCTGTCCGTTTTTCCATTTCGTATTCTTGATCTGAGCTTAGAATTGATATATGAAAAACAAATCCTTTTTTCGTTTTTGGTTTAACCATAAAAAACAAATAACAAAATAACCAGTCAAATTTTTATTTTTTGTTTTTTGATTGGCAATTGAAAATAGAAAGAACGAATGATACACGGATTGTTCAAATAGACACAAAATCTCATTTTTATTCATTCCACTGGTAGTCTGTTTTGCTCAAATAGCAATAGAGGCCTGTCTCTAATTCTGGCCTCTTTCCAATAAAGGCCTGGACCGCGATGCACTTGAGTGAAATAAAGGCCCTGGCCTATATTAGAGGATTTACGGTAAGTAATGTTTGTTTTTATAGGACGTTTCACAGACATAAAAGCCACAAAGTGCTTTACAAAATTGCAATACAAATAAAAATACATTTATAGTCACAAAAGACATGTTCATAAAAAAAACCTTTAATCTACTAGAATTAAAATGCTTTTTTAAAGGAGTAATCTCCCCTGGTCCTGCAACGAGTACAAGGGACCATGAGCAGGTTCAGGTCCTGAGACCTCAGCCTCCGAGAGGGGGTATAAGGACACAACAAGTCTCTAATGTAGGAGGGGGCCTGACCGTGAAACGCCCTGAAGGTCAGCACCAGGATTTTAAACCTAAAAGAGAGTGGCAGCCAATGAAGAACTTTTAGAATCGGCATAATATTAGCCCTTCTGTTTGTATGAGTCAGTAACCTCGCCGCAGGGTTCTGAACCTGCTGAAGACGAGAAAACTCCTTTTTGTTTAAACGTGAGAATAGACTGTTACAGTAGTCTAAACGGGAAGACACAAAGGTGTGAATAATCATTTCAAGATCATCTCTGGACACAATTTTTCCAAGTTTAAAGATTTTCCTCAGTTGATAAAAACAGTTCTTTGCCAGTAGTTTTGAGTGGTGCTCTAAGGACACTGTTTTGTCAAAGATAACGCCTAGGTTTCTAAGGCTTGGTTTAGCAGACAAACCCAGATACTGGTGGATCCCTGGCATAGCATCAACAGGGAAACTCACCAGCACCTCTGTTTTATCTAAGTTTAGTTGCAAGGAATTTTCACCAAGCCATTGTATTTGTTTTTGTATGCAGGACAATTCAGCAGAGAGCTTAACTTCTGGATCTCTGAAGACTTAAAAGAGCAGTAAATCTGGATATCATCAGCAAACAGATGATAGGAAACATCATCAAATCTCTGAATAACTTTTCCTTATGGAAGGATATACAGTAAAAACAAAATTGGGCCCAAAGCAGAGCCCTGAGGAAGCCCTCACAACAATTCGGCAGAGTCAGACAGGATCTGGTTTGCAGAGACACTAATGCTCCAACCCGTTAAGTAAGAGAAGAATCAAGCTAAGATCGGTCCAGACATTCTGACCAAGTGACATAATCTTTTCAACAAAATTTCATGGTTGACCGTTTCAAATAGTGATGAGAGATCTAATAACACAAAAACAGTGCATTTTCCAGAGTCTGCAGACATCATAATATCACTGGATACTTTAACCAGGGCGGTTTCCGTGGAGTGATGCTTGCAGAAGCCAGAATGAAATGTGTCAAAAATGTTGTATTGCTCCGTTTTACTCATGCTTTGACCTTTCACTTGCTTATACAGAGTAGCAGTGGCAATTGTTTTGTAATAGATAGACTGCCACTTTTGTTATGCCATTGCAAAGTTATTGGGAAATTGATTTTATTTTTACTGCAACACTATTAACTACATAAATTAAGTATAAAATATTGAAATAAGAAAAGTACAAATGAAAATATTCCCCAGGTGAAATTTAAAACTTATTCAACTGCCCTTATTCAAAATAAACACAACATGCAGTATGATTATACAGAGTGTATAATAATAGTGTGCAATAAAAGTGAGAATTATAAAAATAAACCTTTGGATGTTCAAGATTAACAAAATTTCAAACAAAAATCATAAATAGAAAAATAAACAATTAAATATTCATTAATATTGTTTTAATTTATGAGATACATAATTAAGTTTAACAATTCAATTTTGATATTTAATTAAAAGGTTAAAAGCATTTACAATACAATAAATACTTTTTTACTTTATTTTGAATAGTTCTAATGTGAAGCACATTGTTGTTTTTTTTTGTTTTTTAAACTTTAACTGCTGTGCAGATTATCCGCTCAAATTTTAGGGTCTGTTTGACAAATGATAATTAAATGATAACAACATATGAGTTGGGAATATAACAATTTTATTGAGTAATTAAAACTTCTGATACATTTATTTCAATAGAATAGTTTTCTAATGTTATAACCCTTACCATTCTTATAACATATATATTAACAAGTACTACCATTATTACTTTAAATCGTTTGTTGGTTCATATTTCTTTTTTTTTATATTTTAAGAAATAAGACATGAAAGGAGTTATTGTTTTGTACCATTTAGATCACAACAAACCACTTGTACCATGTACTCTACACCAGCAGGGGGGAGTGTTGCACAACTCTTACTATTACCAACAGAGGGAAACAGTGTAAACACTCACCAAAGTAAGGCTCATTGGGACATCCTTTAAGGCGCACACCTTTCTGTGTGCACTCAATCAGGAAGTGGCGCACCAACTCATTCGTTAGATCACCACCTGTCAGAGAATATAAACCAAGTATTTGACATTTTTGAAAAAAACAAACAAAAACAGTTTGGTTTATCTAATATAATTTTCTCTCCAGATATTATTGTTATACGATTCATCAAAATCTGGATGGAATGTGGGGTGTCTTTGCGAGGAATATTGAAACAAAGGTTTGGAGAAAACTTCCTTATAACACCTGGTTATATTTTAAAATTTGAGGAGCTATGAGGCTCCAGGATCAAATGGGAGTTTACTTGTGGTTCCTTGAATTTCCTAAAAGTAGAATGAGATGCAGATCTTTTAGTCATCAATCTCCTCTCTTGTGGAACCAACTACCAGTGTTAGTCTGTGAGGCAGACATTTGGTCTACTTTTAAGGCAAGGCTATAAACTTTCCTTTTTGATAAGGCTTACAGCTAGAGTGGCTCAGGTTATCCTAAGCTATCTCTATAGTTATGCTGCTATAGGCTTAGACTGATGGAGGACATAGGGACCAATTTTTATCATTCCACTTCCTTTTTTCTCTATTCTCCCTTTCTGCAGTAATTCTTAGTTCAATCTCTTATGTTATGCTCTCTTTCTTTTTTCTCATTATATTAGCTTCATCTGGTCTGTTCCTGTTCAGCTGTAACACCATCCTGGATAGAAAGATCAACTGTGGTGTTGCCATAAACACCTTTCTTTAAAGATGTTGGAGTTTGGCCTGTTTTTCAGGGTAGTCCTGTTTCTCTGACTATGACTAACTGTATGTGCTCTCTTCATCTTTTGACATGGGAGCTGGCTTGGAGCTTGTCTGCCTGGCTGTGTTTCCTGCATGCGGCTGTCTGTGGAGCTTATTGAAATTTGCCCTTTGTATCTCAGCTTCTTTCTGTAGGTCTGCTTCTCTCTCCTTGAACCCCACTTGGTCTTGACAGACGGCCGCTCACACTGACCCTGGTTCTGCTGGAGATTTCTTCCTGTTACACTGGTGCTTTCCTCTCCACTGTCGCTGCCAGCATGCATGGAGTGAGGGATTGCTTTCCAATCAATGCAATCAGCTGGTTTTCCTTAGATAGAAAATTTTTTTAACCAATCTGACAGCATGATCTGGTTGAACTGTCTCTGTAAAGTGCCTTGAGATGACGTGCTGTGAAAAGGTGCTGTATAAATAAACTAAATTAATCAGTTTAACATATTTGTAAAAAATTCAGTGTCCGAATCAGTAATGATTCAGATAAAACATTTCTATCTATCTATCTATCTATCTATCTATCTATCTATCTATCTATCTATCTATCTATCTATCTATCTATCTATCTATATCTATATATAGATATAGATATATAGTATAAAAATAAAGGAATCCTTCTTCTCCTGGTGTGTCATTTTCTCCTCTCTCTATAAAATGCTTTAACTGTTTCTCTCTACAGTTTCTGTAATCAAGTTTCTATCAGCCACCTACTCCTTGTAAGGATTATTTTCTATTATTCACGTATGAGCTTGTTAAACCCTAATATTACTTGCCTGTTAAACATCAAGACTAATCTTTAGACTAATCTTTCAGCAGGCTTTGTTCTAATGCTTCAAAAAGTATATTGCCCAACTATGCAAAAATAAAGCAAAAGCTTTTAAGCAAAACATACAACAAACAAACCATATATTCTGAAAAAAGCGTTTAAATACGACAGATATATTGTATGTCAGGCAGGAAGGTTTCCTCCAGAATCTCGTGAGAACACGCTTACAAAACAGGCATATCTTTTGTTGAAGGGTGAAACATTAGCTGTACATTTATGATTATTTGGCACCTAAGGTCTTTTTCACAAGATGCCCAGGAGAGAAAGAGACAGAGTGATCAGAGCTGACATATAAAAAGAAAGAAGGATTCTCAGGTTCCAACATGAATATGAATACAGTGGGCAGTAAGCAAAGATTGTTTGGGTGTGACTCTTTTGTTGCTGTTGTTTTTGGTTTGTCTGTTTTTTAACATGATACTCAGGACAGCCCTGTATTATTAACATATATTGTAAAATTACTTTTAAAGCATGGTGCTGGAGTCCATGTTTCTGTGGAGGGATGTTAGCATGGCTTAGCTGGAAAACTAAAAGCAAAAGTCACCTGAACAACTAGCTGCCTTGGGTATTTTACTGTGAAATTTTCATTAAATGAAGCTAGTTTGAAATAGATAAGGAGAGTTAAACATAGCAATGAGTTTAGTTCAATCAGAGAGGAAGCATAAGGTTTACATTACCAAGCAAAAGTTGTTTAAATTCCTTAAGATTTATAACATTTTGCCACATTAAAACCATACATCTTTTGTGTATCCTTTTAACATTTTAGAAGACCAAAAAAAATAAATAAATAAAACGCTAAATTAATATAAAAGAAACAAGAAAATGTTTTCTTTTTGAACAAATTCTGAAAGGTTTAACATTTATATTTGGAACTTATACATCTAATATCCCTTTGGGATTAATTAAGTTTTATTGAATTTAATCAAATACTTAACCCCTCAGAGATCAAATATATAACATATTTCTGCTGCAAACCTTTTTTTGCACATCTCAATAACAGTTTTACACATCTGGAAATTCATTTAACTTAGTTTACTTTCAGTCCAGTTTAATCAAAATTTTCTGCCTGAGAGGAGGAGTCTGACTTGACTTTTTAGTGATCATGGGCCACACTTTTTACATTTGCAGAAAAAAAGGTAAATAAAAATTTTCTTGATGCACTGTAAAATCACAAAACAACACCACATGTAACACACCTTTTCTGCTCTGCTGGATGACCGATGGAGGAGGTGTTGCCACTTTCATAGCCAGACCGTAGGCCCCTTTAAAGGAGTGGCTGTCCCTCACTATGAAGCAGCCGGGCTCCTTCTCCTTTAAAACTGAAATAGCTAAAATAACATAATCACAGTGAGTCAAAAACATGTATACTTCTTTCATTTAGTTAAACAGGTCAACCTCACTTAGAATAAAGGCTACCTACCTTGGTCCCTTGAGATATCTGGTTTGTACCAGAATTTTGAGGTGTCCTGTACAAACTTTACAGACACCTGCTTGCCCACAAGTACATCTGGAAAAATACAGAAGCATTGAAACATTATAAAAAAGTTTAAAAACACTCAGCGAACCATAAGTGAAATGTTGTTAACCTGGCAGTGGTGAGACAGAACATGGTATTTGAGCTGACAAGTCAGGCAGCACATTAGGGAAAGGAATACTAAGGGAGCTCCCACTGTGAGGACTGGAGAACCCACTGAGGGCTGGAGATGCAGTTCCCAATGAATGTTCACCATCTGATGCTCTCTTTTTTTCAGGCAGCAGAGGGGGCTGTATCTGGGGAATCGGTGACTGATGCTGGCCTTCCATGGAGGTCAAAAGATCCCCATCTACACCCATGTCTGGACACTCTTTGCCATAGGTATGAACAGACCCGTCTTGCTCATCAATGCATTGAGGACTACGGCTGAGGGCATAGCAAGCCATATGGCTTCTCTGGCTGCTTCGTGGAGAGCTGTGCGCATTGGGAGCAGGATGGGCATGAGGGAGGTGTAAAGGGGGGGAGTGATGCCCATAGTCCAGAGATGTTGAGTGCGATACTGGCGGTCTAGCAGAGAGGAAGCTATTCAGGGAGGATTGGTGGGTCAGAACATGATGCTCTGGCCAGGAATGATTCACAGATGAGCTGGGTAGACAAGAAAGTAAGTAAAAGTTTAATACTGCTCAAAAAAACCTATAAACCCAACAGCAGTAATATAGCTAAAGGTGCCTCTTTAAGTATTCATTTCCCTGGAACATTTTCACGTTTTATCACTATTATAAAATACTAAACAAAAAAAAAAAAAAACGACATAAACGTGCATGGACCTTTACTTATTGAAATTATTTCTCAAATAGCATCATGAGGACCAAGAACTTAGCATTGAGTAGGGCTGGGCAATGAATCATATTGGCATTAGAAAAAAAAAAATGCAGAGACACTCAATTTTTGCTAAATTACATTAACAAGAGTAATACACTGACATTCTAACTCCAGCCCTTTAGGTTTTTTAGTAATATGCCCTTATATATGGGAAGGAAGAGTTGCAGTTAGCAGAAGAGTTGCAGTTAGCAGAATATTCAAGATTTAAGCATGCCAGTAGAAGTAAGCATTTTTCCATGAAAAGTAACAGTTGAGTATTGTCCAGAATCTTGACTCTGGACATAGTCTAACTTTCAAGGTCTTGAAAACAATAAATCCTTGATAAAAAGGATAACAAAAATCCCAACTTTGATTTTTTTATTAAATCATTCAGTCTTAGCTTTGAGAAGCTTGGAGAAGTTTAAAGTGAAGCCATAAAGCAAATTCCAGAGCTTCGAACATCTCACAGAGCAGGGTCTAACCTACCATCTGAAATTTGATATAGCAAAAATATGACCTACTGAGATGTGGCTGTCAACCTAAATAAGCAGGTTGGGTAAGAAGAGTAGTAACAAGAAAGCAGCTAAGAGGACCTTCAGAAATTTAGAGGTGGTTTTAAGATGATTCAAGTGAGAGATAATCCAGAGGAAAACATATTAGTTGTTAACTCCATAAATCTGGTTTGTCACAAGCAGAAATAACAAGGAAGCAGGTAATATTTTATACATTTTACCCTAAATGCAAAATGCATTGTATGACAAAAAACCCAAACTACACTCTAAATACTCCATCCCCATGCTGCAGCATGGTGGTGGAGGCATCCTACTTTCTTTAGAAGAAACATAAAAGCACATCAGAGTTGATTTAGATGGGTAGAGCTAAATACAAGATACTTCTGGAAGAAAACTAGTTTGATCCTGAAAAAAACTTGAGAGTAGAGTAGAGGTTTACCCTCAAGCAGAATTACTATTAAAAAAATCCCACAGTTTCCCCCATTCTTATTTAAAAGACAAAAGCATAAGAGATCCTTCTGATTCAAGCATACAATAAGCATTATAATTGATCTGCTACCTATCGATCTGCTGACGATTTCCCATGATGGAGGTAGAGTATGTTGAATTTAGCATCCTGTGGCAGTTATGGGAGGGATCTTGCAAAGCTTCGAAGCTAACATGATTGATCTCGGAATGTCCTTGTTGTTCTGTGGGGGTAATAAGAGAGAAAAAAAAAGAATATTACCAACGGAAGGAACCAAAATAAATAACTAATTTACTTGTCAGTACTTTATACCGTTCTAAAAAAAAAATTCAAGTACATATAGCAAGAGCTGCATATATAGAAAAAACTGTCAATCTTTTGTAATAAGCAAAAAGCAAAGTAGAAAAACGTTTAAAAATATATATTGAAAGAATTAGCTGAGTAAAAAGGCTCAGCTCTAACCTCATCTATCTATCTATCTATCTATCTATCTATCTATCTATCTATCTATCTATCTATCTATCTATCTATCTATCTATAAAGCCAACTACTGATTATCTCTCCCACAACCCATTAAGTCAACAAATAAGGCCCAAAATAAAACTCAAAATTAAAGAAAAACTCCTACCATAATTATCTTAAAGCTTTCTTTAAGTAAACCATAATCTGGGCAACTGGCATATACTTATATTCCAACTGAGTCTCTTTCTCTCTCACACTTTAAAGCTTTAAAGAAATCAGATTCAACACCAAAGGGGTCTCTGTTTCCACCATGACCCCCGTTTCCCCTGTGTTTACACACATATACACATGGACTTTATATGGAGGAAGAAAAGTTGATCTGTTACATTCCATCCAGCTTGGCAACCATGCAGATGGAGATTAACTGAAAGCAGTATTGTCTGCGACACAGCAGGGGCACAGACCCCCATCCAAACCCCACAACCTTTAGACAAACTGTATATCTTAGTAGATCAATTAAAAAGAAAGAGGTAACTGATTGGAAAATGAGAGAACATACTCTAAACACCAGGCAGTGTAAAATCATAAAGCTCAGCAACATATATAATCACAGGGTGTACATCCTAGAAAAAGACCTCAGCCCCAAAAACAATGCAGATAGTTATAAAAATGTTATTTTAGTCAAAACAAAACCACACAAGCATTCCTGTGGGTGCAGGAATTTGTTTGGGGAATCTCCCTCAACTGATGCAAAAAGATTGTTTCCACTCTGATGATAAAAGAAGATAAAAAAATAAATAAATAAATAAATATGAGAAAACCCTCTTGAAGAATTCAGAAACAACAATGTGGGAATTTTTCAGGGAAAAAGGGGAATCCAAATAGTCCAGTCGCAATAACAGTCAGACATGACAGAGGTAGAAGGTTATGGTTTCAATTCCTGGTTTGGGGTCTTTCTGCATTGAGTTAGCATGTTCTCCCTGAGCATGCGTGGGTTCTCTCTGGGTAATCTGGCTTCCTCCTACAGTCCCAAAACAAGACTGTCAGATTAATTGACATCTCCAAATTTTCCTTGTGTGATTGTCTCTCTGTGTTTCCCTGAGACAGACTGACAACCTGCCCATAAACTGAGACAGACACAGGCCCCGACAAGACCCTGACTAAATAAGAGAAGATGAATGGATGGATAAACAAAAGGTAAATTGACATTTGGAAAATGATTTCTGAGGGTAAACAAGCTCTCTCAAAAACTATATTTTTACTCTCAAATATAGGTTTATTTTGAAGCCGAGTGAATTTTTTCTCAAAAATAGATTTCTCTCTCGAAACCCTTGATCTTGATTCAGGATTTTTCTCTCGATTTATTGCCTAGTCTCAACAGAATTGACAGCTGACAATACATGCTTGTATTAGAGTTATTAATGACCTTCCTGTGTAGAACCTACTTGTGAGTGGATAGCTATGTTTACATGCACAAATATTTCCTGACTGCATTGGAATGTGTTGAAATAAAAAAAAAAAAAAAATGTAATCAGATCGTACAGTTTATATGGACATGAGAGACTGATTATGCAAATCATTGTAATCTGATAGTATCTAGCCATTCAAAGAGGAACTGCTTCATGTTGACATGGGGGTCAGCTTAAGGGCAGATTATACTTCTGCAATCGCACAAATCAAATGTCGCTCTGGTTTGGTCGCAAACCTGTTTTGCTGTTATGCTTCTGCACAGTCGGTCTGGAATTTCTAGGGACGCACAGCAGTGAGGCGCGCAAGGGGGAGCCTATTTGAGAACCCGTGAGAACTTTGGCGGATGGTCACGAGAACTTCGGCACCGCAGGTGGGAGTGTTTATCTTCCAAAACAACAACTGCGCGTCTGCAAGATATCACTGTCATTGAGATGGATTTAGAGTTGCTAGACATAGAAGGGGAACAGGTTCTGTTAATGGAGTTGGCAAAAGGACAGATTACCCTTTCCTCATAGTTGTCCATTGTAGTTGTTCCTCAGTTTTTAAAAATGGCGCACTGAATTGAGAAGGGCGACCACACAGACAGGCGGAAAGGCATATCAAGGACCAATCACAGCTGCTTTTGTCTGCGCACTTCCGCTTTAGGTCTGCGCAGGTTTGCTATCGTCCAATGCTTAGTCAGGATTTTTTTGAGGTGCGCAACGACGGTTGCAGAACCTCTGCGTGGGGGGCATGGTCAAGCACAGAGACAGATTTGATGTTGCAGAGGCTATGCGTCAGAAGTATAAATTGGATTTAGGTCAGTTTACATCAATCAGAATTACTTGATCCTCCTGACAGCATTTACATGCATGCCCATTGGACTGTCAATTGGCGTAAACCAATCTCTTACAGTGGGATTACAGTTTCATTCCAATCCTGCTAAATCCAATCCGAAAATTGACCATCATGTTTATATGACGCATTTTTAGTCCGATCAGTTGTTAATTCCAATTCCATATGTCCATATAAACATATCTGATGTTTTACACGTTTTTATTTATTAGCGTTCCCCTAAACCACTGTAATACTTAAAGCAGCTCTATAGAGCTTTCAGTTTTGGTCAATTTTGGCTCCCCCCAGTGGACAAAGCTGTACTGTTTTGGCTGAAGGAAGACAGCATTTCCCATGAGCACCAGCACAGTAAAATTCTGATCTCCCCAATGGTCTGCAGTTGGATTGAACTGAGAATACAGGGATGCCCTCACAGGTACACTGCCAACCTTAGATCAATACCTTGAGACCTGCCAACTTCCCTGTCCATTGGAATTCCTCACCTTCATCAAAACAGGGAAAAGAGAAGCACAAGTCCTGGCAAAAATAGGGAATCTTATTCTAGTTGGCAGATGGCTGAGTCTGGTTCTGCTAGAGGTTTCTTCATGTTAACAGGGAGTTTTCCTCTACACTGTCCCCACATGCATGCTGGGTGTGAGGGGTTGCTCAGTAGTCAACAACAAAATGCAAACATTAAATCATAGCCACAAGCTTCTTCAGGAGGAGCATCAACGACTGGATGCAATCAACTGCTTTTCCTAACCAATTGTTGGCCTTGTATTTTCTCTGTAAAGGGCCTTGAGATGACGTGTTGTGAACCTCATAGAAACATCAACATCTTTAAACGTCTAAACATTTTCAAAACTTGAAAGTGTCTAACTGATATCTTTTAAAACAAACTGCACATCTCTGGGCCTACCTTGATTTGTTCTGAAGCCTCTGAATGACTGCATGTTGGGAGATGGAGTGTTCCTAAGTTCAGGGAAATCGGACACTAAAAATACAAAGAAAGGGTTGACAGCAATTATGCATAAACAGAAGACATGTCTATTAAAAGGACAGTTACAATATTTACCATAAGGTGTTGGCGGTGAGATGGGAAATGCAGGGGTGGGTGGAGTCATGTCAGGTCCTGACTCTATTTCATTGGTAATGTCAGGGCCCCGGGCTTTATAGCTGGTACCATCACTTCTACACAATTTAGAGTGCTGTAACAGACAGAGTGTGGAAAGAAATCTTATGTTGTGCCTTAGAACAATGAGATAATATGAACATGGAATGGAATGTGATGTATAGATGGCCACAGAATCATAGACTTTTGTTTTAAGACTGTCAGCAAAAAATAAAAAATAGACTGCTGTAGACAACCGTAGAGAAAAACTGCAACTTTTTCACTTCAAGTTTTGCAGGAAGCAGAATCTTTAAATTGCTTTGTATCATGCAGGAAAATACAGGGATGCCCTCGCAGCTACACTACCTAACTTAAATCAATATCTTCAGACCTGCCAACTTCCCTGCCCATTGGAATTCCTAATCTTCATCAGAACAGCGGAAAAAAGGAGAAGCACAAGGCATGGCAAAAACAGGCAATCGCAATCTAGCCCAACAGGTTAGATAGAAGCTACTGTAGAGCAAGATTCTTTAAGGCCCCCTAAATGTCCCTTGTGCTGCACCTTTTAGATGTGTCCCTGCTTCCACACCTATGCTAAAGACGTGTTTGCTCTGAAATAATGAGATTACAGACCACTAGCTTTCTCATAGTCATTAACAGTCGCATTAGTGGAGTGGGAGTGGTGGCCTAGTGGTTAGGGCAGAGAGCTTTGAATCCTGATGTTCTGAGTTTGAGCCCAACTCCCACAGACTGCCGCTTTGGGTCTCTGAGCAAGACCCTTTAACCCAAATTGCTCCTCGGGCGCTTTGCAACGGCAGCCCATTGGTCCCCAAGGCGATGGGTTAAATGCAGATGTAAATTTCTCAAAAGTTCAATTATTATTATTGTTATTGGTGCTTTTTGAAACTCATGAGCTAAATAGGATACCAGCTATTTTAGCTACCGAGTAGAAACCCAGAGGAACTCTCAGACACATCCGCCCATCAATCAGGCTAATTGGTCTTCTGATAAAGACAAATAAAGTTTTCATCCCTGATTTGTCTTGAGTTTTATCCCTGTTCTACTATGAAATTAGAAATAATTATGTAAAGTTAGGATTCAGTCATCTAAATGGTTCTGATTTCCTGATTCTGATTTTGTAAAATCATTCTTACCGGTAGTCGTTTTCTAAAATAATGTTTTGCCTACCTCTTTGATTTGCGCTGTGAATCAGTTTTTAACACATTCCAGTTATTCTGTTAGTTGTAAGGCTAATTTAACTTCATTAAAAATCCTTCACGATAACCTTCTTCTCTCTAACATAAAATACACACTAAACTGGTACATCATTGCATCATTATGTTAATAATGTGTTTTAACCATTTTTATTTTTTCCTTCTTTCAATATGTTCATTATTTTACTATTAATTATTATTAGTCTATTATAGACCATTAGCGGTTTAGTTGTTCTTTAATCAAATATTTTTCATAGTCATTTTATTTAAATCTCACTAGCTTGGTTAACTTTTAAAACAAAAATATGTTGAACTTGAAATTGAACTGATTTTGTTCAACTTTTAGCCCTTAATAGGAAGTTTTAAGAATTTAAAATTCAAATATGTTTTCACAGGTTGTTGTTTGACAATGACGGTGCTTGAAACACTCATTTGCACATCACAAAGGAAAGGTAAAAAGGGGAAAACAAACAAACAAAAAAAACATGATTTTGAAAATAGCAGTTTGCATGTGCCTAGACTTACTTGAAAATGGGAGACGCATGGAGGATATGTCTGCTGGCTTTTGTACTCCTCTGGGTCATTCCACCCTGAAAAGCCTGAGTGATCCATTACATCCTTTCCTTGGTAACTCAAACTCCGCGTGACACCACCTCCCCTGTCGTTTGACTGGGCAGCTGAATACACAGAAGCAGAAAGAAACAAGAAGTTGATGAATCCTATAAACGAAGTCTAACGTAACATCTTAAAAACATAGTTTGGACGCTAAAAAGTTTTACTCATAATTTCAAGAGGGCCTGAGGGTGCCAACAGCTATCATACAAATATAACCACCATGAGGATTTCTCACAATCATTCATAATATCTAATAAATATTTCATTTTATTTATATATATATATATATATATATATATATATATATATATATATTTCAATAAAAAATAGTTATTATATTTTATATTTATTATATTTTATTATTTCAAAAACTGAAATGATAGAACTGTAAATATTGTCATGTTTATATTACTGTTTTTATGTATTTTTACTATTCTCAAGGCTGCACTTTCAAAAAAATGTAATTGTCTAGAGAGCTGTTCTTAACAAAATTTCTTTTTGTGTATACAAAATGACAGAATAAATCTGTCTAAGTCTAAGAAACATGTCATGTGTGAAAAAAACATGAATCTCTTCAGAGTAAATTTACAAAAATCAACCAAAGATTAAAAGCTCAAGAAGATGTTGGTTATATCAACCCACATTAGCCAGATCAAGCCAACACAGAACAGATTACTGAATTCCAGCTTTGATTAGTTATTGTAGACACATTGCTGCTCCCGATAGAAATAGTTTACAAAGGAATGCTAAGTCCATTGCTTGTGAGTGACGTCATACGGACGCAGCCTGTGTGCGTTGCTTGATTGAAAGGGGGTAGGAGTGTATTTTTCAAAAACAAAATGTGTCAAACTTGCTAATTTCAAACAAACTTATTTTAATCTAAAGGGACTGCTACTAATCACAAGTTAAACACCTGTAATCCTTTAAGGTCAAGTCCAACGGTGAGCTAATGGAGAGCAGATAGTGGACTTTGTGTGTGCTTGAAGTGTGACTCTTGTGAGAGGTATTACCAGAGTGTTAATTTGCACCCTCAAACTGAGCTCTGACCTCTGAGCACCAAAGATCATTTTTTCTAGTACATATTAGACTGTTTTACATTATTCTTTTCATTTTGCTTCAACAGCTGCATGATAGAACCAGAAATACATAGCAAATATGCTATGATTTCAGCATAAGCTTTAATTTTGCTGTATATGGAGTTATTTTTATGTTATTTTTATTAAATTAAAGATGGTGATCTGAAATAGGAAAATTATTTTATAATGTAAAATAAATATTTTACAGAAAACAAATTTTTACCCTGATAGCAAAAACTGATTTTATTCAAGACTGAAAAAAAAGCTTCACAACAGTCTTTTATCTCCGCCTATCAGCTCAGCCATAAGCTCTCGTCCACATTTCCAGGTAAAGCGCTGCTCATCTCTATCGCACTTAATACCACCGCTCAGCTGACAGTTCTGTTGAGACTGCTCAATATTAACACAGGACTGCCCATGATCCTGCCAAAAAAATCCTGAATCAAGAGCAAAGAATAAAAACATATTTTTCAGAGAGCTTTTGTACCCTTGTAAATCATTTGCCAAATGTCAATTCATCTTTTTATCCACTGACAATCTTTTCTCTCAAAACATTTTCTTCAGGCTCAAATAACATCAGCTTTTGCAATCACTGTGCAAATGTGTTCTTTCCAAAATATTTTCCCCCTTTAGATCACTTAACTCCATGGCTATATTCTTTTTTCAATGTGGGATACCTGATGTATCACAGGAAAGTTTACAGTTTGTTGTAGAGATACAGGATTTAGTACATCTGCTCTTTGAAAAACGATTAGCTGCTCTGTTCATCTAATACTTTGCTCCCCTTTTTTCATCTTTTAAAATGTTTGGTGTTAGGTTTTCATTATCTCTGTTTTTTTCCGATTGCTATCAATATCATCATTATCATGTAATTTTTTTACAATAATCGGTAAATCTAAACAGACTCTCTGTGTCAATCAACGTACCTTAATAAACAAGTATTTTAGCTTTAAAAAATACCTCTAAAACATGTAAAAGCAAAAATTCAAAAGCAATTACAAACTAGGAGTGCACCGATTCTGTTTTTACAGATCCAGTCCAATACCTGAGCGTATCGGCCAATATACGATACAGACACGACTTCACTGTAGAATTGATGACCCTTATATCTTGCCATGTGAGTAAATGATTTAGCCTTGACGCATTGATAAATTAACAAATAACATAGAGATAAATGTATTTTAAATTTTCAATTAATATCGGAGCAGATATCCAATCCAGGTATCAATGCATCTCTAATTCGAAGTCAAAGAGTTTTTATCTTCAAAGGAAAAATTTACATATGTCTGTATATTTTTGGCTTAGCTACTGTTCTTTCAGTAAATGGCATTTTAGGATTCAGTTTTGTTTTACCAAAAAAAGTAATCACGGTTCATTTGAATAATTATTTCAGCCCAAAAGCATAGTGGGATCATTGTTCCATTTCGGAACGCAGTTTGAGATCGTTTAAGTTTTATGACATAATGCAGGATTACTTTCTTCAACGTTTTCCAGGCCAAGGACCCCAAAACTGATGGCGAGACGGAGTGGGGACCCCCTAATTATATATATTGTATGAATTTGTGTCATATCAAACTGTTCACTCTATTACAGATGGAGTAACATAACGAAAGTAATTTCGCCCTGGGATTATTAAAGTATTTCTGAATCTGATTCCTGGTTGACAGGACAGGTGCTGTGAATGAAACGGTGCCCAGCTTGAAAGAGCTCCTGTGTGTCACTGAATGTGTGCATTGATGACTGAAAGCCATCTTCTGCCTTCATTTATCTGTTTACTACAGTGTTTTGAATTCATGTTAATGTGTAAAGACATTTCAATTAGTGGAAAAAATTGCACTGGGGAATATACAAAAAAAAAAGTCTAATGAACCAAAACTTTCACGACCCCCATGCAGTACCTCCGTGGACCCCCTGTTGAAGACCTCCGGTTTAGAGGAAGCCATAGGATGGATACACTGTACTCAAAAGGACAGACATGGATGGGCTTTGGGCTACTTAGGTGGGCTCTGGCATTTAAAAATTATCATTTGGTACATGGGTGTCAAAATGTGACCAACGGCCTCACACTAGCATCACCAACATTAATTGCTACAAAAAACAAACAAAAAACACTTCAATCTGACACGGCAAGGTTTTGTAATTTGTTATTGTTCTATTTTGAAGCCCTGTGAAAATGATAGCTTCAGTTTTCTGTTCTCAGCTAGGGTGGTCTTCTGCTTCACCACCAGTCTACCTGTCTGCTGAGTCTACAGGGACCTCTGCATGAAAAAAAAAGTTCTACACAACTTTCACTCAATGGTTACATTCTCTTTTTAAGGACATTTACATGGGAAATGGTAGCATGGCAGATCAGCAGTTTCAGAAATATTCAGAACTGCCCAATCAGATTTAACAGCTTTTCACATTAAAAACAACCTAAATACGCTTTTTACCTCTGCCAAGTAGGTTATGTTTTAGGGGAGTTTGCGTGTTTGTTTGTTTGTCTGTCAGTGTACGGGATATATAGAAAAATTAAGGACATTTTAATAAATTTTTTTATCAGAGGTGTCCTTCAGGCCAAGGAACAATCCATTGAATATTGGTGATGATCCAGATCCTAATCTGGATTCAGATTTTTTTTTAAAACATTCTCTAACATTGTGAGATTGGGATATTTGGCAGAACAATCAGTTCCCCAATAAACCAGAGTTGCAGCATTGACTACTAACAGGCTCATTATCAGACTCAAAAATCTGCAGGTATTTTACTACAGACTATAGAAAGAAAAGGTAACGTTGTTGGTTTGTTAGCAGGATCAATTTAAAAATTCCAAACATATTTTAAGGACATTTTTTACCAGCTGTGCCTCATGTGTGCCTAAATATATTTACATTTATTAATGATCCAGATCATGTGTTATTTTAGCCATCTGTGTAAGACACAATTTGGGGCAAAGTTTGCTGCTTGGCAGAGGTGTGCAATAGAGTATATTTCAATTTTTTACAATCTAATGATCTGTTTAAAATACTTTAATTTCTCTTTGCCATACCTCGATACTGAAATGTATAGGGTTGCAGAGATCTAATTGATAGATTTAATTGCAGTGTTAATAAGCAACTGAACGCCTGTTTATAAAAAAAATAGACCATTACTGTGTCATAAGTTTCCAACTAGAACCAACTACTAGCATATAACGTCTGACTGCGGTTTATGGTATTGTATCTATTTTCCACAAATTGTTACAGAGACATTTTAAACGGAGGCTTGTATGTTAAACTCCTACAAACTCCAATACGGTCTATTCTATACCAAGGTTAATCAATAGAATACTGCACAGCACTCATTGTGTAAGAGAAAATAAATACTAAAACCTTCTACCTTCTGGTACCAACTCTGTACATTAGGACTGCTCAATGCTTAATTTGTGGCAGGGAAGACATCACTGATATTAGTGAGGTGTTTGCACAGAGCCTGAGACGCATGAAAAGACAAAACAAGCTGTAGCATGATCGACCTGCAAGATAATCAGCAGCTTTGCCAAAATACCACAGAGTAAACTCTCCACTCACTCCAATAGGCACAGTAATACCTGCATTAAAGGTGTAGACATTTGCTGTAAAGCAGGATAGTTAAATGAGCTTAGTTCATTTTTTTAATTCATGCTAGTAGAAAACAACAGAAAAGAAACAATAACAAAAGAATAGGTAACTTTATTATTTTTTTTTTACTTTAAATTATTAACTTTATTATGTATATATGTATTATTAACTAACTTCTGTTTTAGCAGAAAGAAGTCTTCTTTTTTCTGCAAACACTATTCATGAGTTACATTTCTAAAGAGCAACCAAAGCCAACACTTATCTTCCTACAGCTTTTCTTGTAAATGAAGCGTCTGTGTTGATATGCACTTACAGGCAAGTATTTGGAATCAAATGGAAAAGGTGTGCCTGGGGGTACACTTGTTCCTTCTTTGGAAATTCCTAAATGCCGTACATTGCTTTCCTCCCTCTTTCTGCGATTGCAAGCTATGATTCATGAAGCTACACACCTTTCCATGTTTTCCCTGCATGGCTTAGTTTCACTTTGACTGCACCTTCTTAAGTATGCAGCACAGAACAGTTTAATCTGATCCAAAAAGGGAATAATCTGTGTAACACAGAAAGATATAAAGTGCACTTGATGAAATCATAAAATGTGAAATGTTCTGTGAGGCGATAAAGAAAGAGCGTATTCTTTGGATACGTGAGGGCTTGGGATGCATGACCACAGTTCATCTAAATATAGTAAATTTCGAGGACACCAAAGTCTTCAAGCTGAATAAAAATGGATCTGTCAGTCAATACCAAAGCAAATATTTAGTCTCTAGAATCAAAATTCAAGAGTCAGAAAAGTTACCAAGCCTGAAAAAGTTGGTCTTCTTTTCTCCGTGTACCTCATTGATCCTACAAACACACCTACACATACAAGTTTGGACAGAACTCTTTCTTTGGAAAACAAAATTAGAATTTCTGGCGGGAACCTTGTCATTTCTGCCCAGAAAACATGCTGGGGGGAAAGGGGGGAGAACCAGTAATGTGATACTCCACCTCTTACTGGAGCCTATTAACCAACTACAGTATTAGCATTATTTCAGTTTCTTTTACACAGAGTTCTAACATAACTTTCTCTGAAAAATATTCATTTTAATAATCAGATTTCATTTATAATGCCTTTCAGACCATGTTTAATATTAATGAAAAAACTTGAGAGTTAATTTACATTGGTCAGGTTTAGATTGAACCTGCATATAGACAAACTGGGTGGGAGGGAGGGAGGGAAAAGAATGGTCCAAATGGGAGAGGATAAAAAATAGATGAATGACTAGAAGACTGAGTCATTGAAACATTTTTTTAATCCATTTCCTTCTATAATCTAAGTAAGGCTTGCTGACAAATGAAGTGTTGATGAATGTTGGGATGAGAGACACTGGAATGGTTTATGGATTAAAACAAAATGAGGCATGAATGAACAGTGAACCAAGAAGGGATAAAGAAATGATGAATGGAAAGGTGTAGTGGACAGATCAAGGGATGGACAAAGATGGATAAATCAATGATATTGGATAGACTTTGATGTATGGATGGATGGATAGATAGATATTTCTTTTGATGATAACACTCAAGAATAACTAGGCTGACTATCTTACCTGTCTGATGGGTGCTTTTTAGGGTTGCTGTGTTACAACCGTTGAATCCGACATCGATGCTGTTTGAACATTTCCCCTCTAAGCCATTGAACCGTGTCCCTCCATCCCTGTTGACAGAGTTGCTGAGGCCTGATCTAGGCACAAACGTGGGATCCAGGTCCATGATCAGCTGATTCAGCTGGTCAATGGAGTTATCAATGTCCATTGTAAGAGATTTTATCTCGTCATCATGCTTTTCGTTTTTATTGCTACTGGTGTTTGGCTGTTGTTTGTGAGGTGCTGCGCTTTTGACGGTGTCCACGTTTGTGTTCCTGATGGTGTTCTGTGATTCGATTGCGAGGCCTTCTTTGGGTGAAGTACTCCTACATTTGTTCCCGGAATATCTTTCTGTTTCATTTCCATTCTCTGGCATGTAGTTGTATTGCTGTGCAGCGACCATCTGTTGTTGTCGAACCCAGGACTGAGTTGAGTAGCTCCCCTGTCTATATACATGCTGCTTTGGTGTAGGAGCACTGCTGGGATTACTGGAAGCCACAGAGTTGCTTCTTGAGCTCAAAAAGGCTTTTCTAGCCTCAGCATGGGATCTCTCAAACTCGTCCATGTGTTGGGGTGCACTGCTCGGCAGGTGGTTCTGGTTTTGATGCTCCTCTGATCCAAGACAAACAAAGCCATCTGACAAAAGGGAGTTCTGGCTGCTCTTATGGCACGAGGATGACAGTGTTCCTAGGCTATCCACGCTGTGCAGATCGTGACCTGTTATAACTTCATCATCAAGGATGTCAGTCTCTCTTTCTCTGGGTCGGGTGTCTCCATTTAAGTGCAACTGTGGTTGAAGTTTCTGTTTCAAATCTACCTTAGGGCCCGGATCATCCATCTCATCCAGGGAAGGATCTTCCAGACCAAAACCACTAAGGAGTTGTTTCAGCTGGACCTTCTCCTGCGGACTGGGTCCCTGGTTAGTCTTCACAATGGTGCTTGTGGTTGTTGTGGTGGTGGTGGCAAGTGCGGGTCTTTCTGTCCACAGGGATGTGCTTGACAGGCCCGAGTCACTGCTCACAGAGAGAGCATGGTCGCTATGATCAGGGCTTGAGGTGGTGGACGTTGTACGGGTCCCTCTGTTCAGAGTGGCCTCTCCACCAACAACGCTCCTCTTGCTAGCTGCTCTGTCGTGGATTAGACCCTGAGACCGCGGTGCTGCAAAACAGAAGAAATGCTGCAGCTTCATACATTTAGCTGATTTGGTCACACGCAGAAACAACACAAACAGGGGACTCACAAAGACAAGACTGTCACGTGAACACTCATGTCATTCTATAACTGACGAGGACACAACAGAAATCAGGACTCAACTCGAAACAAACAGACATTCAAGACAACAAATCAACTCTACAACATGATAATTCAGGATCTCTGAAATGAGGATCTGTTGAAAAAATATTACATTTTAATTTCTTATCTGGGGTTGATAAATGTCTATTCTTTTTGATTAAGTATTAATCTGAATTAGCTTTTTTCTCCTGACACTAAGAAAGTGAAGATAACATCAAAAAATAACAAAATAAAAGCAATAAAAATAAACAAATTATTCTAACTACATTTTAGATAAACAGCAATCAATATCTCTCTTCTCCAAAATATGTTTTACATAGACAAGTACAGTGCTCAGAAAATAATTTGACTCTCTGTCCAAAGGATGTGAAACATTCTTTAAATATTGATCCTTTATATGTTCAACCTTCAAAGTTACTCGTCCTCTTATTCAATAGAAAAACTGTGTTTAAAACTCTGAATGTCCAATGAGGAGGCAGTGCTGTATCTTAACTCGTAATTAGTAAAGATTAGTTGTGGGCCATTATCGGGGTTTTCGCACTGCGTTGATGCCAGACTCTTCAAGCGATAAAAAACAATATCGCCATTAATCTATTGTTGGGAGCTGTCCATACTAATGATGACTTTCACATTGATATTTTGGTGCGGATGTATATCTCGTGATATACATCCGAGATATACATCCGCCCACACAGGTTGTCTTCCAACCTGTGTAGGCGTACTGTGAAATTAAATTAATCTGATGTGACATGCTGACATGATGCAGCTAAACTCACAGCTCTATCAGCCAAGCTAACCAATCTCCTCGCTCAGTGGATAGCCAAAAGCTGCCAGACAAGCTCATTCTCCAGGCGGCAACAGGTGACCCACCTTACAAACTATCTGCATGGCGAACTATCATGAGGAGAATACTTGCCCAGCACGCCGCGGAGAAAGCCATGAACGATGAGAGGTTGATTGAGGCGGCGTGTGTGTCAGATTTTTGGGACATCTATAATTGGAAGTGGGACACTCAAGATTTTGACAGTTATAAATCATTTTTTTCTGCTCATTTGTTACTGTGTTTTTGCTGCAAAAAATAAAGCAAATTAGGAAATTTTAATCTAGATTAATCAATATTAATTCCAAGAATACTGTGAGATTAATCTACATTAAAAAAGTGTAATTATGCCCACCACTAATTATTATCATCACCACCATCAAGTCTAAAACATTTGACTTAGAAAAGTGATAAAACGTAAACGCTTTAAAGCTATCAAAATAAACACATGAATGGGTCTTATGTTACTCTACGTCACCATCTGATTGGCTAAACAACTCTTTGCAATATCTGCACACTAAGTAGGACATTTTTCCGTGCATTGTACACTTTGCTGAAAAAAAAAAATGCCTGAGAAGTTTATACAAATAAATAAGGGAAACATTTTCTACTTTATACTCTTGCAGTTCTGGGGCTTCATGTATAAAGTGTGTCTGCCCGGAAAAAACACGTGAAATATTTAACACGAAACTGCAGATGTATAAAAGTAAGTCTTGTGTGAAAGTGTGCAGGAATTCACGCAAACTTTTAAACCTGTCATGAGAATTTGCAGCAGTTACGCAAACTTTTAAAATCCACAATTTATTTGACCTTTTATTGTTCTAGAAAAAGCCTTTCTAGAATAAAAAAATGATGCCAAAGAAACTTTGTGGGACTATGAGATATTTGGCCATACTCATATGAATCCAAACCAAACACCTGGATCTTTGGATCCAAATGAAAACTAGTTTTAAATTATATTGAGGAAATACTGGTCTAGTTGTAAGTTGGATAATAGACAGTAGCATTCTCCTTGCCACGCAACATCCCACCCCCATTCTGCCTTTATTTGGGAAATGCAAAAGTCAGAAAAAAAATCTCTGCTTTCCTTGCTGATCTCAAAAGAGTTAAGTCTGCCAAACACTGATTAATGTAACAATAACACCAACATAAACAGGATGGGTGTTCAAAAATAAACAAACATATGTAAGTTTAAAAAAAAAACATACAGTTGGGATAAAATATTGGATTATTTCCCCTCAGGAAACATTTTAGTTGCTAACAGTGAGACTTTCACTTTATGGTAAACAGCTGTACAGCACAGAACTCAATTCAATTCAATTTTCAATTCAGTTTATTTATATAGCGCCAAATTCACAACACATGTCATCTCAAGGCACTTTACAGTTCAACCAGATCAAATTGATACAAAGTTTTCTATCTAAGGAAAACCAGTTGATTGCATTGACTCATTGACTCAAATACAATCCCCCACACTAAGCATGCTTGTAGCGACAGTGGAGAGGAAAAACTCCCTTTTAACAGGAAGAAACCTCCAGCAGAACCAGGCTCAGTGTGAGCGGCCATCTGCCGAGGCCGACTGGGGTTCAAGGAGACAGAAGCAGAGATACAAAAAGCAGCTGTAAAAGGCGGCCCCGTCCAGGAAACACACAGCCAGGCAGACGAGCTCCAAGGCAGCTCCCATGCCAGAGGACGAAGAAAGCACATCCACTCAGTCACGGTCAGAGAAACAGGACCACACTGGAAAACAGGCCGATCTCCAACATCTATAAACAAGGGTGTTGATAGAAGCAGCACAGCTGATGTTTCTTTCCAGGATGACGTCACAGCCAAACAGGAACAGACGAGGCAAAGCTACTCTGAGGAAAAGCAGAGAGAGCAGAAGGTTAGAGATTGAACTAACAGATTCTGCAGAATAGGAGAACAGAGAGAGAATGAAGCAGAATGATGAAATGGGGGTCCCTATGTCCTCCAAAAGTCTAAGCCTATAGCAGCATAACTATAGAGATAGCTCAGGATAACCTGAGCCACTCTAACTATAAGCTTTATCAAAAAGGAAAGTTTTAAGCCTAGCCTTAAAAGTAGACAGGGTGTCTGCCTCACGGACTAAAACTGGTAGTTGGTTCCACAGGAGAGGAGCCTGATAACTAAAAGATCTGCCTCCCATTCTACTTTTAGAAATTCTAGGAACCACTAGTAAACCTGCAGATTGAGAGCGAAGTGCTCTGTTAGGAACATAAGGAACAATCAGATCTCTGATATAAGATGGAGCTTGGCCATTTAAGGCTTTATATGTGAGAAGGAGGATTTTAAATTCTATTCTTGATTTAACAGGAAGCCAATGAAGAGAAGCCAGGACAGGCGAGATATGATCTCTCTTTTTAATTTTCATTAGAACTCTGGCTGCAGCATTTTGGATCAGCTGAAGGCTTTTAACTACAGTTTGTGGACTTCCTGATAGTAAAGAATTACAATAGTCCAGCCTTGAAGTAACAAATGCATGGACTAGTTTCTCAGCATCACCCCTGGACAGGATATTTCTAATTTTTGCAATGTTCCTCAGATGAAAGAAGGAAATTCTAGAAACCTCTTTGATGTGGGATTTAAATGACAGGTCCTGATCAAAAACAACACCAAGATTTTTTACTTTATTATCTGAAATCAGTTTAATCCCATCCAAATGAAGTGACTGGCTAATCAGTTTCTTTTTCAGAGACTCTGGTCCAAAGACTATAACTTCTGTTTTGTCTGCATTCAGAAGCAGAAAGTTAAGAGTCATCCAGGTTTTTATGTCTTCAAGACATGCCTGTAATCTATGTAATGGGTTAGCTTCATCTGGATTTATAGACAGATATAGCTGGGTATCATCAGCATAACAGTGGAAATTAATCCCATGCTGTCTAATAATTCTACCAATTGGGAGCATGTATAAAGTAAAGAGAATTGGTCCTAGCACTGATCCCTGTGGTACTCCACAGGTAACCTTTGAGCGTGTTGAAGATCTATCATTAACATGAACAAACTGAATTCGATCAGATAGATAAGATTTAAACCAGTCTAGTGCTGTTCCTTTAATTCCAACAAAATATTCAAGTCTTTCTAAAAGAATATTATGGTCAACTGTATCAAATGCAGCACTAAGATCCAACAGGACGAGCACAGATACAAGTCCATTATCTGAGGCCATGAGAATATCATTAGTGACTTTCACCAGAGCTGTTTCAGTGCTATGATGAGCTCTAAAGCCAGACTGAAACTCTTCAAAAAGTTCATTATGGTGGAAGTGATCGCAAACTTGTTTGGCAACTACTTTCTCAAGAATTTTGGATAAGAAAGGAAGATTGGATATAGGTCTATAATTGACCAAGTCATCTGGGTCAAGAGACGGTTTCTTAAGCAGAGGTTTAATTACAGCAACCTTAAAAGCTTTAGGTACATATCCCTGTAACAGAGATAGATTAATCACATCTAAAATGGAGGAGGAGATCAAAGGGAATACCTCCTTAAATAACCTGGTTGGAACTGGATCTAACATACAAGTTGAAGGCTTAGATGAAGACAATAATTTTGCTAATTCAGAGAGTTCAACTGGATCAAAGCAGTCTAAACCCAGTTCAGATTCCATGACTACCTCAGGTACAATCGCGGATAGAGGAGTGCTTATGATCTTATTTTTAATAAGATCAATCTTATTTATAAAGAATCCCATAAAGTCATTGCTGCTAAGAGCAGGTGGAATGGACGGTTCAACAGAGCTATGGCTCTGGGTGAGTTTGGCAACTGTATTAAAAAGAAATCTAGGATTATTCTTATTCTCCTCTATTAATGAGGAGAAGTATGCTGCTCTTGCTTTACAAAGGGTCCTCTTATACAGCAGTAAACCATTTTTCCAGACTAGGAAGGACTCTCGCAGGCCTGTGGAGCGATATTTTCTCTCCAGTTTCCTAGCATTTTGCTTCAAAGTACGCAGCTCTGCATTAAACCAAGGAGCAAGCTTTCTATTTTTAACGGTTTTCATTTTCAAAGGAGCTGCGTTGTCTAAGGC